TGGCGTGGGACCGGTTGGTACTACAAACGTTATCGACCAGGCCTTTCGGGAGTCCTTGTCGGTTTATTCGTACTTTGTTCATTCTTACACTATGTTGTAATGTGGATAAACTTCTATCAAGAGAAAAAACGAATTCGTTATTTCATGCAAGAGGCTAGGGAAATTGCCTGGGGTAAACGAATGAAGAAGCAAAATACAAGAAAGAGGGTCAACGTGAATGATAAACAATTCATCGTGGATGGTGACAATGTCGCGTTTCTGACCGATGAAGGAGAAGAATTTCTATTGGGTGAAGATAAGGTCACCAAGCCCGGTTTCAGCGATCTATTTCCGATTTTGATTTACAAGATAATTTTAAATAAAATGTTAACCATGATGAGACTAAAGAGAAAGTCATTAGACGAGATGGAAACCACTGTTAATGAAAAGGAATCATTTTCCAGTGACGACGAGCGCAGTGAAGCAGATTATCCAAAGAGCAAAGCGCGTCGGCGTAAACTCGATAGAAGAGCAAAGCCAAAAGATTAAGCAATGCACATTTACATTTCTGTTATAATACCAGTCTCTTATTAGATTTGCAAGAACATTATTATTATATTTAGAAAGTGTCCAAATAGAATTATGAATAGCAAAATTTTACGCATACAATTCAATTTTTGTCAATAGTATAAGCATGTTAAAAACTAATGATATTTTATATGTCTGTAGTATTAAAATAGAGAAATAGTAATACTAAAAAAATTGATATTCGGTATTTGCGAGTTTCTGTTTGATATAATTGAATCAAAGCGATTACAGAAATTGATCTTGGGTTTTTTAGCGTTATAGGAAGGCTTGGCTGTCCAATATTGAATCGGGCTGAATCGATTTTTTTTCCATTGTCCGGAGTCAGCCATAGCCGATTCATGACCAAGTAAATTTCGCCAGCTCAAGGATCTGCATTCAATTTTGCTTAAATGTTCAAGAGCGACGAGAAACATCAAAAAAAAAATGTTGCACTACACAAATGAATTATAGCTTAAGCAAAGCCGAGTGTATGTTCCTTGAGCAATTGTGGCTTTAATAAAAAGGAGAATCGATATTTTCTCTTGTATTGTTTTATTCTTCTTATAGTGTTCACTATTTTTATAGTTTTTTCTAAAGAATTTAGTTTGACTTTAGTAACACAAGATTACTCAAACAATAAGTTAAGTAATTTAATAGTAAAGAAAGTAATATACAATATTTTTTTTTGATATCGAAACCCTGTCAACTTTATTGTTAACATTATTGTAGAAGGATTTTACAAATGATTTGTATAACCTAAAATTTTATACCAAGTCAAGTTTACAATAAAAAATATATTCTATTTATAAGATTGTTTATATAGAATGTTCTTTAAGAGGCCATGGGCTCAAAAGTACACAAAGTTTCACTTGAGGCTATATGGTAGAGAAAAAAGGAGAAAAAATGAAAATAAAAAAATAAAACACTTTATCTAATAAGAATTTTGAAGATAAAATAATTGAAAGATAGGAATAAGTTAAGAGGTTAGGTAATATATTGATATATCCATGGATATATACTATTGCTTCCAGTATATCTTACTTTAACCTATATCATATTCAAGTATAGAAGGATATGAGAGAGAAACTTTGATATTACCAATTCAAGATCTTCAATTTCAACTTTCTAATAATATCTATTAATAAAATTTCTTTTTTATTTTTACTTCTCTAAATATAAAAAACCATATTAATAATAGTATTAACTAGTACAAATAATTAAAATCTTTTAAAATACCTATGGGTCAATAGTGCAGTAGTTAGCACTCCATAGGTCAGATCACAAGATACAAGTTCAGATCCTCCAGAGGGCAATGCCTGAAGTTTGGAAGAACTTATATCCATTGGATTAACCAAGTAGGACAGAGATAACCGATATTTCTATATATAGCCACATAATAATTAGAAGGGGACTAAAGGTCACTCGTGATATAGTCTATATAAAGATTGTGATCTGAAGATTAAGATCCAAAATCAGTTAGGATTATCCTGACTTAATTGTATTACTTCTAATAATAAATTAAGAAAAGTAATAAGAAGAGTAGATCTAATCGACCGATAGGGTACCGCTGATTATCACATACTAGGTTATGCAGCATTTACCATAACCAGTATTATTAAGAGGCCTTGGTGGAAAGAGAAATCCACTGACTACTTTGAAGGATCAAAAAATCAGATTCAGGATAAAGAAAATTCGACAGTCTGATAACCAGCCTACTCTTAATAAAAATGTGTGGAAAAGAATCAAGAAGGAATTGCACAGTTTCCTGAAAAAGTAGTGCTTATATATATAATATAATCAATATAACTAGTCATATATAGATAGATACTAAGAATAGTTGATATATATAGTGCTTATTTAATATACACATAGTATAAGGAATAGTTCATATGTATAAATACAAACAGAGATATGAATGAAACATATATGGTACAGTTACTGAATAAACTTGAGGGGTATAGGGAATAGCTTCAAGAGTTGAATATAATATAAAAATATTAAATAGAAACTGGAGTGTGTTTGCACATTTTTAGATATTCCTCTTTTCTTTTATTTTTTCTTTCCCCTTTTGTAGTTTCTCGAATTCAGTTCCTTAGAGGATAATAAGCAGTGATAACCTACTAATAATGATAGGTAAGTTAGAAGGGTCTTCATCTAAAACTTAGTTCAGAGCAAAATATTGTCTCCAAGGTTGCACTTAGAGGCTGAAGTTCTTTTGAAAATTGAAAGCTATTGATGAGTGTATCAGTACAAGATTTTAGTTTAGCTATGATGCAATTGCCCTATATATCTTAATTAGTTTTCTTAATAATTAATAAACACACAGTACTGGCTTGACCACAAGTATTAAAAAAAAAAATAATAATAATTAAAATCTTTTAAATTTTTTAAATGGATTTATCAAAAATAGATAAATATTTTTAATTTATTTTATATAATTATTTAAGTTAAAATCTAAGTTCTATTATTCTATATTTTTATATCTAATTTTTTTAAATAATAAAATAATAACAAACTTTTTCATGAATAAAAGAAATAACTTTAATATTAAAAGTTATTGAAATATCTTATAACTTTTACTATAGTTATATAAACTTTATTCTTAATACAGTATATATTTTTTTGAGTATCCATAGTCAGGCTAGATTGTCAGTTTATTAATCAATTGAAAACATAAGTATATTTTCATTTGAGCAGCATAATATATACTACAGCTAAACTATTATTCTAATCTAACTAACTTATCATAATTATAAAAGCCTTTAAGTTCAGTTTTGAGACAATATTTCTCTATAGTGTCTTTGGATAAAAACCCTTCTAGTTTATTATATCATTGCCAACAGGTTGTCATTATTTTATATAGATTCAAGCCACTAGAATACAGAAAACTACAAAAGGGTGAGTTGAAAAAAGGGAAAAGGGGATATCTAAAATGTTTAAATAGATAATAAGAAAATGATAAAGTAAAAATTGAAAAAAAATATTTCCAACTTACTCTAAAGACCTATTTCTCAAGATCTCTTCTCAATAAGAAATACCTAATTGGGATATTTTTTCTTTTTCTAATTATATGAAAAACTTATCCATTTTTGATCTTGATTTTCTTCTTGTGTACCATTTGAGAAAACTTATTATCTAGTAGAAATCTTTACTTCTAGGATATACTTGGTTCCAATCTTCTTTGAGCAGTGATTTTTTATTTACCTGTGATAGGGAGGTGATTTATGATGGACTCCAGATTTTTATATAACTTAATAAAAACTGAGTTATGTTGTTTCATCATGATATCTTTCAGTAATCATACCTAATTAAAGGAATTTTACTGGTATACATCCTCTATTATTCAAAAGACCTTTTATCTTGTAATAGTGGGAGGATTTTGAAAATGATAGAGATTCTTGTCAATTGTAATATTCTTTAATAACTTCTGAAAAAATACATTCTCAATTATAATCAAAAGATTGGAGCTTAGTATGGAATAAAGACTATTTGGACTTATTGTCTAATCAGAATAAAAAGAAGATCTTGATTTTGAACTTTGCCTGACTAGAATAATAGAAGAGAAAGACTTCATTTTAAATAAATAACAATTTTTTTATTACTAAAGAACTGATTACTTGTATCTTATTGATCTTATAAAACTTGATCTATAAATTAATCAAATTGGAGGAGTGGAATGGATACAGAGTATCAATCAACTTTTGTAATTATCAATAACATTATTAGAATATGTAAGGTGACCATTAGGAGCTTGTTTATATTTAGTTACTAATATGTTTCATATTATCCAATCAGATATCAAGTGATATTATGCTACCAAAAATTTAGGATCAAACTGAGATAAGCAAAATTCCTCAAGAAAACTGTGAAAAACAGTAGACACTTTAAGAGGATACAGAGACAATATGTGAGAAGGTGGATAATAAACCTTCTTCTATTAACAAAACCTCTATTTCTTGTTACTTCTAGCTCTATAGGGAGACACTTCACTTGTTAGTCTTTTTACTTCCTAAAACCTTCTTACCCTTAGTAGAGAAAGTGCATACTTGAGTCTTTTCAAGTTATTAAAAACCCAAGTTTATATTCAAAGAAGTTTATAACAAGTAAGAAAGGGTAGAAGAAATACTGTATATTAAGACAAGCTTCAAGTTGTTTTAATGAAAGTGTAAAGATTTTATTAGCAAGAAAGTATAAAACTTCTTGCGAATATCTTTTTTATGTGTGATCAGAGGATCAGTGAAAAGAGTTCTTTATAATATATAACTTTATTCTTAATATTGTAATATAGAAAAAATATATAAATATAACTAATTAAAGATTATATTTTGTTATTAATATATTTATATTTGATTAATTATTGTTAAGATAATCTTGTATTATTAAAAATTTAAAATTAAATTAAGATAGACAAAATTTTCTATAAAGATTAAACTGAAACTAAAAATACTATAAGAAGATTATAACTAATAAAAAAAATTTTTTTTTTTAAACACTGGCTCATTCTGCATCTCTCTGATTACTTTATTAAAAAAAAAAAATCATATTTAGGAACAATCAGGATTAATATTTCCCTGTACTGTCTAAGGATTTACAGATCATTAGAGAGAAAATAGTATAAAGAGCTATCTATTTATAACACTCAATCTAAGTATAACCTGACCAAAATAAGAAAAATACATAACTGCCTAGTATAAATACTTTCTTCTAATGACAAAGAGGGGATTAACCAGATACACTCGAAGATACATTGCTAATTGCCCACTGTCATTGGTTTGATACTATCTAGAATTTTAATCCACCAATCAGCTTTTTGCTATCTGTTAGAGGAGTCTAATCTGCCAGAACTTGCCCAAGATACTCAATACTATCCAATGCTAAGGGTTACTTGTACTAGTTAAGGACCAGTCAGTGTTAAAAAATGAGATAAAAGAAAAGGGAGAAAATGAGGAGGAAAGATTGAAAATATTTACAAGAAAATGAAA